AGCCAGAGCAGCCAGGAACTTGTCCATAGCCACATGGACCTCAGGAGTGAAGTCAGTGGGGAACATGATGGCCATGACCACAAGGATGTTGTGGGAGAGAATCTGTCAAAAGAAGACAGTCACACAGATGTTACATTTGAGTTTTTAGATGTCCAACACTTAATGATCAGTCCATACTCCAATTTCAACATGTATAGGCCAAAAGAGGAACAGCATTATCTACATTCAGTTAAAGGAAAACTTCATATAAATCCTATAATCTTTTAAAAACCTGAGCTCTGCACCTTGAAGTTAGCAGGGTCCACACGCAGAGTGAAGGCATGCAGCTCACTGAGGCTCAGAAGACCTCCTTTCAGGTCGTCGATTTTGGACACAGCATCTGCAACTCCAGTCATCACAGTTATTCCGTGCTTCCTGGCTGAGGGAGAGGTGGGGCTCTGGTCCTTCCAGTGGGAGAAGTAAGTCTTGGTCTGCGGGTACACAGCCAGCATCCTGGGTAAAAAATAAAATAAAAAAACATTTATACATGGGTGAGTAGGTATATAAATGAATCAATTAATGTTGGAGCATTTTATATCAGTCAGTATGTTCTCATCTTTACCTTGCCAGAGCTTCGGCGCCAATGTCCTCTGCCTTTCCAGACACTTTAGCCCAGAAGGTTCTGACTGCGTCCTTGTCCTTAGCAGTGAGACTGGTCATCTTGTCTGTTTATTGAGAGTTGCTCAATGCAGTGATGAGCCCAAACCGTGGGAGGTTTTTATTCTTGAAACAGAGCAAGGCCACACCCGGGACCTCCTCCAAGATAGTGAGACTCCATTAGATAGAAACAAAAATCTTCTCATTGTGACTTTGGACTTTCTTTGAATTTCATCACTCAACCTAAATATTTTTAAATCGTGGATTTATGTGTGTATATTTTGGAAAACACAATTTAAAAGTTGCACTACAATCCCAATTGCATCTCCCATGTGGTTAAATACATGTTAAAATACAAAAATAAAAAATAAAAATAAAATAAAATAAAGGTGTGTGATAGGCTTCTACTTAATCATTTAAAATATATTTTAGATGGAGACTTATGGCCACTTGAAGTCAGAACTGGCCTGTATGCAGACAAAGGGATTTAAACCACATATAATACAGTTATTATTTAAAAAACCTGACAGCTTTCACATAGGACCCTTATAGGACACTAAAATTAGGCAGGAGGGCTACACTAAAAAGTACAGTCCGTTTTTCGTTTTTAAGTCAACCTATGTATTTTTCATTTTGCTGCCTCAGACTGAGTCACACAGCCATATTTATACTATATTAATACCATAACATTTGTTTTTTTATAAGATTTTAAGCTGTTAGAGAGATGTGTAGCCCACAGTGTTTTCTTTTATTTATTTTCCCGCAGGATCAGGTAAGCTACATGTGACTTTATGGGGTTTCAGTATCCAGAGTTGGGTAGTACCTGATTACATGTCATCAAAATTAAGTAATCAGATAACAAAACATAAGCAGCCTTACTAATGCTACATGTGTAATACGATTAGTTTTACATTGTCAAGGGTTACTTGATTACATATTTTGATTAAGGATTTAAAATATAGCAATTTTGAAATTATAGTACTTTTTCATGATAATCAATGTATTATTATATATACTAATGAAAAGTGCGTCTCCTCTAACATACGGAGTTTCTTAGGCTAGTGCTCCACTTAGTGGCGAACCTTGGAGTAAAAAGAACGGTGTTGACTCAAGTTGGGAGGTTCAAGCAGCAGCAGTTCCTCAAAAACAGCCTCCCATTCCTGGTAATATCACCAAATTAATTCAAAAATGTGTAACATGCATTTCTGAGTCAATTCTTTAGCATATGGTAGGTATAATATTATGTTTTATTTTGAAGTAATCCAAAACTGTTAAGATTAGATTTTTTTTAAATCAAATTATTTTATTATTAATTTATTATTACTTTAATATGTACACTGATACGTTAATTAGGTTAACGTTTACTAATGTTTTAAGTCACGTATGCAACAAAATGCAACAAGCAAATCTTTAGCATACGGTATAATATTATGTTTTATATTATAGTAATCCAAAAGTGTTTTTCTTTAAAAATCAAATTCATTTACTAACAAGTACAAAATTGCCATGTATTTTGTATTCAGTCAAGGACTACATTACAAAGTAATCTGACCCAACCCAGTCTATATCACAACCACCTGTTGGTGTACTGATAGCTAAGCAGAGCTAGAAAAAAATAGCCTAGGGTGTACATGTTCGGCAGAGATAACATTAACAGACTATCAATAGAACAACTTGCTGTTTGCTCCATCTTGCCTGTGCTCAGGTGGTCATTCAACATGTTTTATCTTTTTTTAATGTGCGATCATTCCGCACTGAACTTTAATGATCGCTGTCCAAGGTGCTGATCCTGGGACCTCCAGGGCGAGGTTCAGGTCCACAGTTGTTTTTTGCTGTGCGGGTAAACCTGTTATTGTGCCGTTATCTGTCTCTTGGTAACAAACTGACAGTTCGCTTTGATCTTGGTCATCAATGTGCATATATCCGTCTGTGGCTCCCTGCCAACAAATTGTGGACACTTGAATTTGCGCCCATGTGACCAAAATATACTGACAGAAACGGAAAATAAGTCTCAGTAAAGACTGTAAAACCCTTTTTACATAATTGCCTTTTAAACACACTTGATATCTGGATCCTGTCATTTTAATATATATATATATTTACGTGTGAGGCCTTTTCTTTTACTTTGCATCAGACTTTACGGTCAGAAAATAAACATTTCCTATGTTTCAGAAAGACAAGTGGTGCAGGTACGCCCTTCTATTATCTCTCTTGTGATCATCAATAACACAGAACTCGTCCAGCCCACCGCCCATCGCATCGCTTGTTGCTGGGAGGGGTGTAGGGTTTCTTTAAAAGCTGGTTCTGGAGCCGACGAGCACAGGATCTACCGATCTGCACAGGAAAATCTACAGCCGGCAAAATGGTTGAATGGTCAGACTTCGAGCGCGCCACCATCCAGGACATTTTCTCCAAGATGGAGTATGAGGTCGTGGGACCTGCAGCTCTTTCCAGGTCAGATGTTTGTTTTGTTTTTTACATTAATAATCAAGGATTATTATTTGTGCACTGTATGCACGCATGTTCATATTCCTGGAACACCTATTTAATCTCATTATCTTAGCCTGTAACGTTTATCTCGTTGCATGTTCCCTCAGGTGTCTGGTCGTTTACCCCTGGACTCAGAGGTATTTCGGCAACTTTGGAAACCTCTACAACGCCGCTGCAATCATTGCGAATCCGTTGGTCGCAAAACACGGAACAACCATCCTCCACGGTCTGGACCGGGCTGTGAAGAACATGGACGACATCAAGGCCACATATGCAGAACTGAGCGTGCTGCACTCCGAGAAACTGCACGTGGACCCTGACAATTTCAAGGTAAAGTTGTGGAACTGTAACTACTGTTATCCATATTCAACCATTATTCAACAAACGCATTTCATGTTAATGTTTTCTGATGCTTGTTGTCTTGCAGCTGTTGTCTGACTGCCTGACCATTGTGGTTGCTGCAAAGCTGGGTAAAGACTTCACTGGTGATGTCCAGGCAGCTTTTCAGAAGTTCCTGGCTGTGGTGGTGTCCTCCCTGGGAAGGCAGTACCACTAAGAAGACTATCACATGCTGTATTTGTTTAAAAGCTCTTTGTTTTTTTCTCAAAAGCAAATAAAAATAAGCAAATTCAACAAGTTGTTTTCCTGTAATTATACCTAAATTGCATGTAAACATAAATTAAATGTTCATTTGGGATAAAAAATATTATTCTGACTGACCAGACACAGGAAGTATAGACAGCAACACTATAGCACTGATGAAATGTGGCAACAGTGAACATTTCTTTAAAAAAGATTCTACCATCATCACGTAACATAAACAAAGTTCTTATTATATTATTGTTATTATCATTATAGAGGAAAATATGTCAGGTTGGTTACATTAATAGTTCCACAAATACATTGTTCATGATGTGGTATTTGGATCACCACTTGAACAGGTAAAAAAAAAAAAAAAAAAAAAAAAAGTAGAATTTAAAAGAAAAGGTTCACCATTTATCAGGTTTACCATCCAAAGTCCAGTTTTTCTGTTTCAGGCTAATTCCTTGTGGTCTTCTGCTTTATTATCAATTGAATGCAGAAAGTTCAATATTTTATATTCTTAATTCAACAACAGTATAATAATAACAATATTGATAACACTACTAATAATAATACTGGTAATAATAATAATAATAAGAAGAAGAAGAAGAAGAAGAAGAAGAAGAAGAAGAAGAAGAAGCAGAAGAAGCACAAATACGTTTTTTTTTTCAAGGCTGACAGTTGTCACATGACACTCATGAGTTATTACATAGGGCCTATTTCATGTAACAAGGGACTAATGCCACATAGGAAGTTAATTTATCCAAATGTTCTAAGAAAAATGTTGATTTCACTAAAACATTGTATTTGAAATTTTTAGGATTTGCACAAAGTGACAACGTGTAACTATTTTATATTTTTTGTTTTCTAAGAATTATCACTACAGATGTTACAAATACAACTAATGGTTATTTTTTATTATCGATGACTCGGCAAATTAGTGTGTAAATTACTTGCTGAATCATTTAGACTATCAAATGTCAGAAAATAGTGAAAAATGCCCATCAAAGTTTCCCAGGGTTCAAATGTCTTTTGTCAGACAAACAGTACTAAGATGTTAAATTTACAGTGACATAAAACAGAGAACATTGAAGAAGCTGGAATTACAGAATGTTTTTACCTAAAAAGTAACAATAATTCATTATCAAAACTAATCAATTAATCAACTAATTGTTGCAGCTGTAATGTTAAGTGTAAAACTTGACTGGATTTTTTAAAATTCTGTCTTGTAGTTGAGACTTTTGATCTACTCTCAAATGACACAAATCATCACAAACAAACCAGAAAAACAATTGCTTTGCATTTTTGCATTCATGCATTTATTGATCATCATGCAATGTAAGCTCATGCTGCAGTCTCCGTCATCTTCTCCTGCTGTTTATCGGTATTTCTCAGCCAGGGCCAGAGCCAGAGCAGCCAGGAACTTGTCCATAGCCACATGGACCTCAGGAGTGAAGTCAGTGGGGAACATGATGGCCATGACCACAAGGATGTTGTGGGAGAGAATCTGTCAAAAGAAGACAATCACACAGATGTTACATTTGAGTTTTTAGCTGTCCAACACTTAATGATCAGTCCATACTCCAATTTTCATATGTATAGGCCAAAAGAAGAACAGCATCATCTACATTCAGTTAGAGGAACGCTTCATATCATATTATCTTTTAAAAACTTGAGCTCTGCACCTTGAAGTTAGCAGGGTCCACACGCAGAGTGAAGGCATGCAGCTCACTGAGGCTCAGAAGACCTCCTTTCAGGTCGTCGATTTTGGTCACAGCATCTGCAACTCCAGTCATCACAGTTATTCCGTGCTTCCTGGCTGAGGGAGAGGTGGGGCTCTGGTCCTTCCAGTGGGCGAAGTAAGTCTTGGTCTGCGGGTACACAGCCAGCATCCTGGGTAAAAAATAAAATAAAAAAACATTTATACATGGGTGAGTAGGTATATAAATGAATCAATTTATGTTGGAGCATTTTATATCAGTCCGAATGTTCTTATCTACAACCCCCCTCGTGGCCCAATTGTTGAAAAACGCGTGCTAAAGTGCCCTCTTGGGAGCCAAAACATGTGCTAAACTGCCCTCAAGTGCCCTCTTGAGAGCCAAAACATGCGCTAAAGTGCCCCCTTGGGAGCCAAAACACGTGTTAAGTGCCCTCTATAGTGGTGAGGATTTGGTATATGTGCCCTTTTTTTTCTTTCTGCCCCCGCCCTTCAAAAAGTCTGTGCACGCCACTGTATACATGAGTGAGTAGGTATGTAAATGAATCAATTCATGTTGGAGCATTTTATATCAGTCAGTATGTTCTTATCTTTACCTGGCCAGAGCATCGGCGCCAATGTCCTCTGCCTTCCCGGACACTTTAGCCCAGAAGGTTCTGACTGCGTCCTTGTCCTTAGCAGTGAGACTGGTCATCTTGTCTGTTGATTGAGAGTTGCTCAATGCCGTGATGAGACCAAACCATGGGAGGTTTTTATGCTTGAAACAGAGCAAGGCCACACCCGGGACCTCCTCCAAGATAGTGAGACTCAAGTAACAAAAATCTTCTCATTGTGACTCTGCACTTTCTTTGAGTTTCATCGCTCAACCTCAATATTTTCAAATTATGTGGATATTTTGGAAAATACAATCCAAAAATTCCACTGACAAACGCTGGCTGCTGAAAGGTTTATGTTCTACATTAATTAGGTCAATGTTGAAATTAATGTTTTAAGCCACTGAAAATAGCATAGACTTATAGCAATATTTTAAGCTGAGTGAGCTGTAATTTATTCTTTTATTCATTTTCCAGCAGGATCTAGTAAATGCGACTTTATGGGGCTTCTGTAAGTTGGGTAGCTACTGATTAGCCTATAAGAACACCCCAGATTACATTTGAAAAAAAGATGTAAATAGATTATAGTTACATTGTCATACATTGCTTGATTCCATTTTTTTTATTATGGCTTTAAAATGTAGCAATTTAATTTATTATTTTAATATGACTATATAAATATGACATATTTCATGATAACCAATGCTCTATTAACTTATTTCAATAGAGCAAAATGCATCTGCTCTGACATTTAGTGATGGAAAAAAAAAGAACAGTGTTGAGTCAAGTTGGAAGGTTCAAGTAGCAGCAGTCCCTCAAAAAGTGTCCAAAAATGTCCATTGTTTGATTTTGAAGTAATTCAAATTTTAGGTGGTATTTTTGTGCAATCCAATAGATTACATTAATAATTCTAAAATTGTCATTTGAATTCTGTCACTGATTACATTTCAAAGTACTCTGACCCAACCTTGTCTCCATCACAACTTGTTGGTGTACTGATAACTAAGCAGAGCTAAAATTAGCCTCAGCGTATACATGCTCTACAGAGATAACATTTGCAGACTATCAATAGAACAACCTGCAGTTTGCACCATGCTGCACCTCAGCTTAGTATGCAATCATTCATCATTCTGCCCTGAAATACAAACATTGCTGTCCAAGGTGCTGATCCTGGGACCTCCAGTGATGTGGGAGGATATGGGCAGCAGTCAGGTTCATGTTTGGTTTTTGCTGTGTGTGTAAACCTGTTATTGTTACGTTTTATGTCTTTGCATGACAAACTGGCATTTTGCTTTGGTCTTGGATCAATGTGCATATATCAGTCTGTGGCTCTCTGTTCTCTGATACTGACACAAACGGAAAATAAGCCTGGGTAAAGTTTTTAGTCCGTTTTTACATAATCGTTTCTTAAACACACTTGATGTGATTATTTTAATATGAATTATCATCTAAGACAGACAAGCGTTAAAGATACGCCCTTCTATTATCATTCTTGTGATCATCCATAACACAGAACCGCCCATCCAATCGCTTACTTGTGGGAGGGGAGTAGAGTTTCTTTAAAAGTTGGATCTGGAACCAGTGAGCACAGGATCTACTGACCAGCACAGGAAAACCTACAGCTGGCAAAATGGTTGAATGTACAGACTTTTCCAGGTCAGATGTTTTTTTGCATTAATAATTACCCTTGTAAAAAAATATTATACTTTAAATATACTTGTTAAAGAATGTACTAAGTACACTTCTATTATGTGTATACTTTTCTGTCGCCTTGATGTATACTTTAAATGAAAATAGTATGTTAACTGGGACTCAGTACTCATTAAGTGTACTGAAGTACACCAGTGAAAATAATGATTTTTGAGCACGTGAAACACACTTGCAGTACAATTGTATATCACCACTGAGTTGGGAATATACTTAAAATGGCATTACAATTCAATTGCACTGCATTAAGTATAATATAAGTGTGGGAGTATGCAGAAGAATATTTGCAATTAATTAATTGAAATATTATCGGAATCATAATATGAATCATCATAAGTGCTATATCATTGTGATGTGAAACTGTTTGGGGTGTGTAGCAAACAAACATGTTTTCTTAAATCTGAATAACAAGCTTTGTAGGCCAGGGAATTTTTGCTGCACTACAGTACTTCATTATAATGCTATTTTGTCACAATTTTTACCTTTATCAAAAAATTGCAGCTTCTGCAATTTGCACCTAGCCATACTGCCATTTCGATAATATTTGGATTAACTGTGCAGTAAAATAGCTAGTGAAACTAATGTCATTGCTACTACTTTTTCCTTTACTTACTCTAGTACCTACTGTAATATGTTGATTCATCTGTAAATATGGATTTGCACTCTTCCCCAAAGCTTGTATTAATTGGACCAAGGCTAGTGTGATATTATAAAGAGAACAAATGGAGTAATGCCTTCAAGAACTCTAAATTGAATGTGACAAGGTTTGGCGGTTTCATGAAGCAGAAACATTAACTCACCCACTACCACATACTACCGCTCATTGAGCTGAGCTTGTCACCAAGTGCTGGTTATGGTAGCAACTTCCAGTTAAAGTATGGTGGCTTACAGTATACAAACTCAAACACACACATTCTCACAGTTTACATTCTCACATTATGCATGCGTGTGTGTTTATGTCTGTATATGTATGCATGTATGTATGTATGCATATGCATGAGAGTATGCATGTATGTGCAAGTGCTTACAACCAGTATATATGTATGTGCCACTGAAGCATTAAGTTTTAGCCTAGGCGGCTTCTCATAGTTTCGGACCATTCTTAACCAGTTAAGATGTGATCAGGGGGACAAACTTTGCATGAGTTGTTGAAGCAAGAACTGGGATATGAATTCATCATGAACACTCCAGCTTCAAGTCATATGGGTGACGTCTGGGAAAGACAAATCTGCACCATCAGTAATGTCTTGACGTCCATTCAAGAGCAGTCAGCCAGACTGACTGAAATTAGCACTATAATTATGTGAAACTTGTAAGTGTAAATTGTACACAAGTGTACTTTTGTATAGCCTACATCGATCATTTCTAATACACTAAATAATACTTTCTGACCTGGGTCATTTTGCATACTACTGGACCAATTACTCTTATTACTTTACCAAAATAGTAACATAGTGTGTTTTTTGTGCACATTCATGACTGTATGCTCAATGATCTCTCTGGTTGATGTAAGTCAATTCATAGTTCTTATTTTTTTAAACTTGAAAACCCTATTTTATTGACTGCTCTGTTTTATACCGACTGCTGACTCCTCACTCCTCTTAACCGGCCAGCAGGGGTCGCTAGTGATCAACAACTGCTATGCTCAAAACAAGGTGTGAAGGCCACATTTTGGCATTTGTCTTGGTTTAAAAACTTACATCCACAGAAACGTTTCGCCATCTTTAACCGGAGCAAATGCAAATTAATCCCATACCCGATCTGTTATGATTCACTAAAATAGCACATAAAAAAAAAAGAAAAATCCCCTGTTTTTGCCGCCATCTTGTCTGCGAAGGAGCCTTGTTTTTCTTCTACTGGCGGACTACAAACCAACGGGTGCATGCCGCCACCTTCTGTACCGAGGTATGTAACATCATGACTTTATGAGGAAGTCTTATTCGGGATATTACACCTGTTTCTTTTGCATAGTTAAATACTGCCCTTCTATTTTCTGTGATGTGTGAACAAAATGTTCTAAATAAATAATGTTTAAATGGTGGGGAACGGAGACTACACGATTACTATTACAAAAAGAGTTTGCATAGGCCTACATATTTATAAGAAAACGTATACTACAAAAACAATAGAAACCTTTGCCAATCCCCGATGGTTACATCTGGCAATTGTGGTGACATTTCAGTCGGTGCTTCACCATCTGTTGCTGAGGTTTCTGCACTCTACTGAGTGAAATACTTGTTGCTGTTTTTGTTGTTATCATTACAGAGGAAACACTGGGCTGGTTTCTTATCTGTAGTTCCACGAATATATTGTTGCCTTTAAATGTTCATAATGTAGCTTTTGGTTCAACACTTGAATAGAAGAAAAGAAGAATTTAAAGGAAGCAGTTGATAAAATATCTGGTTTACTAAATAAAATTCAGTTTTTCATGTTGTTAATTCATTGATGTTCTGCTTAATGGCCAAGTGTAAAATTTAATATATATGTTTAATATTTTATAGGCCTATTCTTAACATAATAATGAAACATGTGAAAAATGCCTACACTCCTAGAGTAAAATAAGATAGCTACATCAAATAGTAATAATTCATTATCAAAACTTTGACTGGATTATTTTTTATTCTGATTCTACTTGATCTACTCTCACGACACAAATAATCACAAACAAACCAGAAAAACAATTGCTTTGGATTTTTACATTCATGCATTTATTAATCATCATGCAATGTAAGCTTATGCTGCAGTCTCCGTCATCTTCTCTTGCTGTTTATCGGTATTTCTCAGCCAGGGCCAGAGCCAGAGCAGCCAGGAACTTGTCCATAGCCACATGGACCTCAGGAGTGAAGTCAGTGGGGAACATGATGGCCATGACCACAAGGATGTTGTGGGAGAGAATCTGTCAAAAGAAGTCAATCACACAGATGTTACATTTGAGTTTTTAGATGTCCAACACTTAATGATCAGTCCATACTCCAATTTCAACATCTATAGGCCAAAAGAGGAACAGCATTATCTACATTCAGTTAAAGGAAAACTTCATATAAATCCTATAATCTTTTAAAAACCTGAGCTCTGCACCTTGAAGTTAGCAGGGTCCACACGCAGAGTGAAGGCATGCAGCTCACTGAGGCTCAGAAGACCTCCTTTCAGGTCGTCGATTTTGGACACAGCATCTGAAACTCCAGTCATCACAGTTATTCCGTGCTTCCTGGCTGACGGAGAGGTGGGGCTCTGGTCCTTCCAGTGGGAGAAGTAAGTCTTGGTCTGCGGGTACACAGCCAGCATCCTGGGTAAAAAATAAAATAAAAAAACATTTATACATGGGTGAGTAGGTATAAAAATGAATCAATTAATGTTGGAGCATTTTATATCAGTCAGTATGTTCTCATCTTTACCTGGCCAGAGCTTCGGCGCCAATGTCCTCTGCCTTTCCAGACACTTTAGCCCAGAAGGTTCTGACTGCGTCCTTGTCCTTAGCAGTGAGACTGGTCATCTTGTCTGTTGATTGAGAGTTGCTCAATGCAGTGATGAGCCCAAACCGTGGGAGGTTTTTATTCTTGAAACAGAGCAAGGCCACACCCGGGACCTCCTCCAAGATAGTGAGACTCCATGAGATAGAAACAAAAATCTTCTCATTGTGACTTTGGACTTTCTTTGAATTTCATCACTCAACCTAAATATTTTTAAATCGTGGACTTATGTGTGTATATTTTGTAAAACACAATTTAAAAGTTGCACTATCCCAATTGCATCTCCCATGTGGTTAAATACATGTTAAAATACAAAAATAAAAAATAAAATAAAATAAAGGTGTGTGATAGGCTTCTACTTAATCTTTTAAAATATATTTTAGATGGAGACTTATGGCCACTTGAAGTCGGAACTGGCCTGTATGCAGACAAAGGGATTTAAACCACATATAATACAGTTATTATTTAAAAAACCTGACAGCTTTCACATAGGACCCTTATAGGACACTAAAATTAGGCAGGAGGGCTACACTAAAAAGTACAGTCCGTTTTTCGTTTTTAAGTGAACCTATGTATTTTTCATTTTGCTGCCTCAGACTGAGTCACACAGCCATATTTATACCATATTAATACCATAACATTTGTTTTTTTATAAGATTTTAAGCTGTTAGAGAGATGTGTAGCCCACAGTGTTTTCTTTTATTTATTTTCCCGCAGGATCAGGTAAGCTACATGTGACTTTATGGGGTTTCAGTATCCAGAGTTGGGTAGTACCTGATTACATGTCATCAAAATTAAGTAATCAGATAACAAAACATAAGCAGCCTTACTAATGCTACATGTGTAAAAAGATTAGTTTTACATTGTCAAGGGTTACTTGATTACATATTTTGATTAAGGATTTAAAATATAGCAATTTTGAAATTATAGTACTTTTTCATGATAATCAATGTATTATTATATATACTAATGAAAAGTGCGTCTCCTCTAACATACGGAGTTTCTTAGGCTAGTGCTCCACTTAGTGGCGAACTTTGGAGAAAAAAGAACGGTGTTGAGTCAAGTTGGGAGGTTCAAGCAGCAGCAGTTCCTCAAAAACAGCCTCCCATTCCTGGTAATATCACCAAATTAATTCAAAAATGTGTAACATGCATTTCTGAGTCAATTCTTTAGCATATGGTAGGTATAATATTATGTTTTATTTTGAAGTAATCCAAAACTGTTAAGATTAGATTTTTTTAAAAAATCAAATGAATTTATTATTACTTTCCTTTAATATGTACACTGATACGTTAATTAGGTTAACGTTTACTAATGTTTTAAGTCACGCATGCAACAAAATGCAACAAGCAAATCTTTAGCATACGGTATAATATTATGTTTTATATTATAGTAATCCAAAAGTGTTTTTCTTTAAAAATCAAATTCATTTACTAACAAGTACAAAATTGCCATGTATTTTGTATTCAGTCAAGGACTACATTACAAAGTAATCTGACCCAACCCAGTCTATATCACAACCACCTGTTGGTGTACTGATAGCTAAGCAGAGCTAGAAAAAAATAGCCTAGGGTGTACATGTTCGGCAGAGATAACATTAACAGACTATCAATAGAACAACTTGCTGTTTGCTCCATCTTGCCTCAGCTCAGGTGGTCATTCAACATGTTTTATCTTTTTTTTAATGTGCGATCATTCCGCACTGAACTTTAATGATCGCTGTCCAAGGTGCTGATCCTGGGACCTCCAGGGCGAGGTTCAGGTCCACAGTTGTTTTTTGCTGTGCGGGTAAACCTGTTATTGTGCCGTTATCCCTCTCTTGGTAACACACTGACAGTTCGCTTTGATCTTGGTCATCAATGTGCATATATCCGTCTGTGGCTCCCTGCCAACAAATTGTGGACACTTGAATTTGCTCCCATGTGTCCAAAAGATACTGACAGAAACGGAAAATAAGTCTCAGTAAAGACTGTAAAACCCTTTTTACATAATTGCCTTTTAAACACACTTGATATCTGGATCCTGTCATTTCAATATATATATATTTTTACGTGTGAGGCCTTTTCTTTTACTTTGCATCAGACTTTACGGTCAGAAAATAAACATTTCCTATGTTTCAGAAAGACAAGTGGTGCAGGTACGCCCTTCTATTATCTCTCTTGTGATCATCAATAACAGAACTCGTCCAGCCCACCGCCCATCGCATCGCTTGTTGCTGGGAGGGGTGTAGGGTTTCTTTAAAAGCTGGTTCTGGAGCCGACGAGCACAGGATCTACCGATCTGCACAGGAAAATCTACAGCCGGCAAAATGGTTGAATGGTCAGACTTCGAGCGCGCCACCATCCAGGACATTTTCTCCAAGATGGAGTATGAGGTCGTGGGACCTGCAGCTCTTTCCAGGTCAGATGTTTGTTTTGTTTTTTACATTAATAATCAAGGATTATTATTTGTGCACTGTATGCACGCATGTTCATATTCCTGGAACACCTATTTAATCTCATTATCTTAGCCTGTAACGTTTATCTTGTTGCATGTTCCCTCAGGTGTCTGGTCGTTTACCCCTGGACTCAGAGGTATTTCGGCAACTTTGGAAACCTCTACAACGCCGCTGCTATCATTGCGAATCCGTTGGTCGCAAAACACGGAACAACCATCCTCCACGGTCTGGACCGGGCTGTGAAGAACATGGACGACATCAAGGCCACATATGCAGAACTGAGCGTGCTGCACTCCGAGAAACTGCACGTGGACCCTGACAATTTCAAGGTAAAGTTGTGGAACTGTAACTACTGTTATCCATATTCAACCATTATTCAACAAACGCATTTCATGTTAATGTTTTCTGATGCTTGTTGTCTTGCAGCTGTTGTCTGACTGCCTGACCATTGTGGTTGCTGCAAAGCTGGGTAAAGACTTCACTGGTGATGTCCAGGCAGCTTTTCAGAAGTTCCTGGCTGTGGTGGTGTCATCCCTGGGAAGGCAGTACCACTAAGAAGACTATCACATGCTGTTTATTTGTTTAAAAGCTCTTTGTTTTTTTCTCAAAAGCAAATAAAAATAAGCAAATTCAACAAGTTGTTTTCCTGTAATTATACCTAAATTGCATGTAAACATAAATTAATGTTCATTTGGGATAAAAAATATTATTCTGACTGACCAGACACAGGAAGTATAGACAGCAACACTATAGCACTGATGAAATGTGGCAACAGTGAACATTTCTTTAAAAAAGATTCTACCATCATCACGTAACATAAACAAAGTTCTTATTATATTATTGTTATTATCATTATAGAGGAAAATATGTCAGGTTGGTTACATTAATAGTTCCACAAATACATTGTTCATGATGTGGTATTTGGATCACCACTTGAACAGGTAAAAAAAAAAGTAGAATTTAAAAGAAAAGGTTCACAATTTATCAGGTTTACCATCCAAAGTCCAGTTTTTCTGTTTCAGGCTAATTCCTTGTGGTCTTCTGCTTTATTATCAATTGAATGCAGAAAGTTCAATATTTTATATAATAATAATAAGAAGAAGAAACACAAATTTTTTTTTTTTTTCAAGGCTGACAGTTGTCACATGACACTCATGAGTTGTTACATAGGGCCTATTTCATGTAACAAGGGACTAATGTCACATAGAAAGTTAATTTATCCAAATGTTCTAAGAAAAATGTTGATTTCACTAAAACATTGTATTTGAAATTTTTAAGATTTGCACAAAGTGACAACGTGTAACTATTTTATACTTTTTGTTTTCTAAAAATTATCACTACAGATGTTACAAATGCAACTAATGGTTATTTTTTATTATCGATGACTCTGCAAATTAGTGTGTAAATTACTCGATGAATCATTTAGACTATCAAATGTCAGAAAAAAGTGAGAAATGCCAATCAAAGCTTCCCAGGGTTCAAATGTCTTGTCAGACAAACAGTACTAAGATGTTAAATTTACAGTGACATAAAACAGAGAACATTGAAGAAGCTGGAATTACAGAATGTTTTTACCTAAAAAGTAACAATAATTCATTATCAAAACTAATCAATTAATCAACTAATTGTTGCAGCTGTAATGTTAAGTGTAAAACTTTACTGGATGTTTTAAAATTCTGTCTTGTAGTTGAGACTTTTGATCTACTCTCAAACGACACAAATCATCACAAACAAACCAGAAAAACAATTGCTTTGCATTTTTGCATTCATGCATTTATTGATCATCATGCAATGTAAGCTCATGCTGCAGTCTCCGTCATCTTCTCCTGCTGTTTATCGGTATTTCTCAGCCAGGGCCAGAGCCAGAGCAGCCAGGAACTTGTCCATAGCCACATGGACCTCAGGAGTGAAGTCAGTGGGGAACATGATGGCCATGACCACAAGGATGTTGTGGGAGAGAATCTGTCAAAAGAAGACAGTCACACAGATGTTACATTTGAGTTTTTAGCTGTCCAACACTTAATGATCAGTCCATACTCCAATTTTCATATGTATAGGCCAAAAGAAGAACAGCATTATCTACATTCAGTTAGAGGAACGCTTCATATCATATTATCTTTTAAAAACTTGAGCTCTGCACCTTGAAGTTAGCAGGGTCCACACGCAGAGTGAAGGCATGCAGCTCACTGAGGCTCAGAAGACCTCCTTTCAGGTCGTCGATTTTGGTCACAGCATCTGCAACTCCAGTCATCACAGTTATTCCGTGCTTCCTGGCTGAGGGAGAGGTGGGGCTCTGGTCCTTCCAGTGGGCGAAGTAAGTCTTGGTCTGCGGGTACACAGCCAGCATCCTGGGTAGAAAATAAAATAAAAAAACATTTATACATGGGTGAGTAGGTAAATAAATGAATCAATTAACGCTGGAGCATTTTATATCAGTCAGTATGTTCTTATCTTCGCCCCCCCTCGTGGCCTAATTGTTGAAAAACACGTGCTAAAGTGCCCTCTTGGGAGCCAAAACACGTGTTAAGTGCCCTCTATAGTGGTGAGGACGCGGTATATGTGCTCTTTTTTTTCTTTCTGCCCTTGCCCTTCAAAAAGTCTGTGCACGCCATTGTATACATGAGTGAGTAGGTATGTAAATGAATCAAGTCAAGTTGGAGCATTTTATATCAGTCAGTATGTTCTTATCTTTACCTGGCCAGAGCATCGGCGCCAATGTCCTCTGCCTTCCCGGACACTTTAGCCCAGAAGGTTCTGACTGCGTCCTTGTCCTTAGCTGTGAGACTGGTCATCTTGTCTGTTGATTGAGAGTTGCTCAATGCAGTGATGAGCCCAAACCGTGGGAGGTTTTTTATGCTTGAAACAGACAATGGGCACACCCGGGACCTCCTCCAAGATAGGCTGCGGGAGGTGGTCCAAGTGATGGGTCATAGTTTGTGCGAGATAAAAAACAAATTTCCTTTTTTCCTTCTTTCCTTTTTTCAAAATATTCAAACAGATTTGAAATAGGTTCTGCAATCAATTATATTAAAAGATGTGATTATAATTTGAAAACCTTCCAAAGGGATGACTAAATTTCGACTCATATTTTTGTGTTTCCTGCCAATACATAGCACACGTCTAAGGCTTATCTAACCTGCTACGCAGTGGCTGACAGCTGTGAGGGTGGATCCACTCAAAATAACAAATAGATAAGGTATCTTTCTAGTGTGTTGCTCAGCTGATATCTAGTTTAAAGTCATAAACTGCTGCCTTACACAACTGGAAATTGACAGTCAATTTATAACCAAATGAGCAGAGTAATTGTTTTAGGCTTTTTTAAGGCTTTTGGATGAGTTAAGAGCTAAATAAGGCCACATTTTCACAATGAAATGGTCTAATGGGACTACCATTTCACTTGCTATCTTGAGCAGAAACTAAAGCTAATATAAGAGAAGTGATCATTTAATTCTTTGAGACACACTGTAACACAACAAAACTTAAATGGACAGGTAACTGAGTGTACCCAAAATTAAGCATGTCCTAACCATCAATTATCTGTGCACCACTACCTTTAGCAAAAAAAACCCAGCAAAAGACAGTCAACCCCATTGTCAAACAGTTAAGGTTAAACTTGAAACATAAACAGGCACTTTCTTTTCTTACCTATTGTGTCCAATGGGCTATTTCCAGATGACTCTGCTTTCCAGTCATGGCTTAGGATGGGCCTTCAGTGTATAGTGTAAGAGAATATGACCACAATCCCATTTCCTCAGGTATTTGCAAGTGCATTTGGTCAAAAAGCAGTTTGTTGTTGGATTGAGGAACTTTTAGACTGGGATCCTCTTCCAGCATGGTCTGATATCTAGATTGTACAGTGCAATTCCAAGGGAAGCATCTCCTTCTTTGAACCATCTCAGGGAGCAATGGGGAGCTGATATTTCAAAAGCTGGGCAGTTTGCAATTGAATGGATCCATTCGACATATCATGTAGATTTTCCACAAGACCTGTGTTATGTGCAATTTAAGATAATTCACAGACTCCAACTTGCTAAAATGTTCCCAGGACTGGAATCAAAATGAAGCCACAACGAAGACTAATATTGTTACAGTTGAAATCTAACAAGCCACCATTGCATTCTCGATGGATAGAAAATGTTATGGGACATTTAAAACTGGAAGAACTTGAATACTCTGCAACTAAGAGGTTTTTCCAAGTTTGGAGGCCTTTTCTCTTTTACTTTGAATATAAATTTGCAGTTAAACAGTAGATGTTCCTCTGACCTCCACCTCTACTCACTTATATACCCATTACATTTGCTCACACTGATATAGTTGTATAATAATGTATTTTAGTTTACGTATTTGAGTTTCCAATACATTTTTATTTCATTTACTCATATATGTTTGATGCAATGTATACTTCGTTATGTTTGATATGTTGTCTTGACTCAATATACTGGAAGTTGGAAATTCAATCAACATATTCAAAAGTAAATAAAAGTGAAAGCTGAGTGGACCTTTTTTGCCTTGGTAGAATTAAAAACATCCAGCTGATTTTGGATTGGCTGGTAAGTGTCCTAAAATGCTATTATCTCAAACATAAGCACAGTATAGCATTGCTTACATTGGCGTGTTATCTTACAGACTCCTCCCAAAGGCAAGCAGCTGTCTGAGAAAATCAGCTGGTGTTATGACAAAGGAGGAACGCATACGGTTGTCCAAGGCCTGGTTGTTGCTGATAAGAGTACAATTTGCATACAGTGAGAAGACAATAAGGGACACAAACTTTAGAGTAGTTACCAGAGAACAAATGAGATATAACCTAACTGCTAGTGATTAGTGAATAAGTAAATCCTAATAATGTTTTATAGCTAATGATTAGTTAATGATTACTCAATCAAGATAGAGTGAGGAATGAATCAGGAACACTGGATTATAATTATTATTATTATGGATAATTAATGAATCATTAATAAGTAGTTCCCTAATAATTCCTAATGGAGGACTGTAGCTAACGAACTACTAATATTCCATTAGAAATTATTAGGGAACTAGATATCAACAATTCATCAATCATCAAGTTGTTCCTGATTCATTCCTCACTAAATTCTTCATTAAGTAAGCATTAACTAATCATTGGCTACCCTATAAAATTCTATTAGGAGTTACTCATTGACTAGTAATCCTGCAGGATGTACCGACTGTACTTTCTTGCAAGAGCTGCAACTTGTGAGGAGACATGAAATTGTTGTGCCACTTTTGATACATGGTCAGTGGCTGAGGCCTCTTGCATCTTACCTTGTTCCATTTAGGCCTGCATGGTGCTCCAGTTGGAGCTCAAGGTTGTTTTTTTGAAGATCTATTAAAAACGTGAATGTCTTTTAAGAAGATGGCAACTTTTCCACTGAAAGAGAAAAAGGATTTGTTTATCTGAATATGAGTGTGGAGGCATGATAGAACTTCAGCAAACACAGGTTAACAGTCAGCACAGTGCAGCAATGGGCTGGCAAGTTGTTAAAGAAGTCAATCAAAACAACTTACAACAGGTACGCAAGTAGGTAGGTAGGCAGACCGCAAGACGTATGACATTTGGGAATTCTCTGGCTTCACACGTTTTATACACTGTGAAAGGAAAATCATGAAGAGAAACCAGAT